AGACAGAAGGCTGCCTATATCATGTATATCATGATGGAAATGTTAAGTATAGTAAGATAATAATGACTGACATCCCTGTCACACCGTTTTAAGATTCACCATGCTCATTGTGCACATCAATAATGTTAGGAAGATAACATGTTTGTTTCACATAACTTTATTCCTGCTCAATAGTGTGTCAAGTACTTTTTTAATTCTTTCTTTAATAAATCAATACAGAAATCCATGTTCAGTTCAAACACTACAGGACACGTGAAGATCTGGTGTAGGTCTTGAGAAACCCATGTTTGCCGTAAATGGTGACTATGCTTGTTGTATGAGGCGACTAACAGGAGCGGGTGGTCAGCCTCACCGACTTGGTCCATGCATGTCATCGTGTCCCAGTTCCGTGAATTGATGCTCATGATGCCAACCACTGGATTGTCTGGCCCAGACTTGATTATTTACAGACCGCTGTCATATAGCTGGAATATTGTACCACGGCTGGAATATTGAGTGTGGCATTAAACAACAAACAAACAAATCGACCACTACTGTCTGCTATTTTTACATGAGTTAAAGGCTATGGGGTCTCCCTGCTCAGTGTGCAGGGTGTAGATAAGGAGGGTAGTGTGTTACACGCCAGCCACAGGAGGTGTGAGGAGGACCTGCCATGCTACACTGCAGACAGACCACCACACCTGTAGTACAGGGACACTTCCTATACAGGCTCCAGGGTGTGACAGACCACCACACCTGTAGTACAGTGTCACTCCCTATACAGGCTCCAGGGTGTGACACACTACCACACCTGTAGTACAGGGACGCTCCCTATACAGGCTCCAGGGATTGACACACTACCACACCTGTAGTACAGGGACACTTCCTATACAGGCTCCAGGGTGTGACTGACCACCACACCTGTAGTACAGGGACACTCCCTATACAGGCTCCAGGGTGTGACACACTACCACACCTGTAGTACAGGGACACTTCCTATACAGGCTCCAGGGTGTGACACACTACCACACACTACCACACCTGTAGCACTGGGACACTCCCTATACAGACTCCAGGGTGTGACACACTACCACACCTGTAGCACTGGGACACTCCCTATACAGACTCCAGGGTGTGACACACTACCACACCTGTAGCACTGGGACACTCCATAAACAGGCTCCAGGGTGTGACACACTACCACACCTGTAGTACAGGGACACTTCCTATACAGGCTCCAGGGTGTGACACACTACCACACCTGTAGCACTGGGACACTCCCTATACAGACTCCAGGGTGTGACACACTACCACACCTGTAGCACTGGGACACTCCCTATACAGACTCCAGGGTGTGACACACTACCACACCTGTAGCACTGGGACACTCCCTATACAGGCTCCAGAGTGTGACACACTACCACACCTGTAGTACAGGGACACTCCCTATACAGGCTCCAGGGTGTGACACACTACCACACCTGTAGTACAGGGACGCTCCCTATACAGGCTCCAGGGTGTGACACACTACCCCACCTGTTGTACTGGGACACTCCCTATACAGGCTCCAGGGTGTGACTGACCACCACACCTGTAGTACTGGGACACTCTCTATACAGGCTCCAGGGTGTGACTGACCACCACACCTGTAGTACTGGGACGCTCCCTATACAGGCTCCAGGGTGTGACACACTACCACACCTATAGTACTGGGACACTCCCTATACAGACATGGACATCAAATGACAAGCTAAATACAGGTGATACACTACTTATACTATTCAAATAAATACAGATTTCTGATGACTGTGTCATGATTTACATAAATTATGTTTGTTTACTTGTTGTTTAACGCCACACTCAGCTATATGACGACGGTTTGTAAATAATCGATCCTGACCAGACAATCCAGTGATTGACAACACAGGCAGTGATCCATGCAACTGGGATACAGTGACTTGCATCAACCAAGACTGCAAGCCTGACCACCCAACCCTGTTAGTCGCCTCTTACGACAAGCATAGTTGCTTTTTAAGACTAAGGCGCTGAAGACATATACTGCCCCTGATCTTCACGGGTCACAAAAATTAATGATATAATGCTGTAAAACGTAATGGTTACATGTGCACATTATCTTGAAGGACCTACAGTTTGATGACAAACAAGAAAGCATGAAAAACTACATGTAACAGTGATTTGTGATGTAGTATGGCAAATAAAGTGTAGTGGCTCTGAGTGCATTCAAAGATTGATGTTGTGTGGAAAAGAAAGGGTTGGACACAAATTTGAATTTTTTTTACAAGTAGGCATAAATATTAAGTTGCATTTTTCAATAATAGGTTGCCCTGGTGCTTTTTTTATACAGTTAAATTGAGCCCTGTTAAATGAAACAGTTCTACGGAAAAGGTTAATGACAGCACACTGAATATATTGAAGGGACTTAATTTAAAATGTTATAATGTCATAGCCCTGTCTAAGTGGGCACTTACTCCATCCTACAAACCACAGATGTGTCAGTATGGCTAATTACATCAGTTAGCTGTTGATGCTGGTTGTACAGAAACAATTTGCATTGGCGGAGTCCGTCACAATTCTACAACACCATACAGTAAGAAGTAACTTTACTGTGAAAAATGACAACAATGCTATGAATGTCATGTCAGAGACAGTAACAGTTTAACAGGGGGAGCTCCGTACGAAAATACTGCTGTTTTTACACACTTAACAGTAACAATAATGCCTCATGTGTTTTTTATGGTGTTGCACCTTTGCCGACCCGGTCTATATGTCACTTATAGTTCCAAACATGGGAAGAACGTTCCACACATGGAAAGAGCGTTCCAAAACATGGGAAGAGCGTTTCACACATGGAAAGAGGGTTCCACATATGGGAAGAGCGTTTCACACATGGAAAGAGGGTTCCACATATGGGAAGAGCGTTTCACACATGGGGAGAGCGTTCCAGATATGGGGAGAGCGTTTCACACATGGGGAGAGCATTCCACACATGGGAAGAGCGTTTCACTCATGGGGAGAGAGTTCCACATATGGGGAGAGCATTCCACACATGGGAAGAGCGTTTCACACATGGAAAGAGGGTTCCACACATGGGAAGAGCGTTTCACACATGGAAAGAGGGTTCAACATATGGGAAAGAGCGTTTCACACATGGGGAGAGCATTCCACACATGGGAAGAGCGTTTCACTCATGGGGAGAGAGTTCCACATATGGGGAGAGCATTCCACACATGGGAAGAGCATTTTACACATGGGGAGAGGGTTCCACACATGGGAAGAGTGTTCCACACATGGGGAGAGCATTCCACACATGGGGAGAGGGTTCCACACATGGGGAGAGCGTTCCACATATGGGGAGAGCATTCCACATATGGAAAGAGCATTCCACACATGGGGAGAGCATTCCACACATGGGAAGAGCATTCCACACATGGGGAGAGGGTTCCACACATGGGAAGAATGTTCCACACATGGGGAGAGCATTCCACACATGGGGAGAGCGTTTCACACATGGGGAGAGCATTCCACACATGGGGAGAGCATTCCACATATGGAAAGAGCATTCCACACATGGGGAGAGTGTTCCACACATGGGAAGAGTGTTTCACACATTGGAAAGGGTTCCACACATGGGAAGTGGGTTCCACACATAGGAAGAGTGTTCCACACATGGGAAGAGGGTTCCACACATGGGAAGAGGGTTCCACACATGGAAGAGCATTCCACACATTGGAAAGGGTTCCACACATGGGAAGAGGGTTCCACACATGGGAAGAGCGTTCCACACATGGGAAGAGGGTTCCACACATGGGGAGTGGGTTCCACACATGGAAGAGCATTCCACACATGGGAAGAGTGTTCCACACATGGGGAGAGTGTTCCACACATTGGAAAGGGTTCCACACATGGGAAGAGGGTTCCACACATGGGAAGAGTGTTCCACACATGGGGAGAGGGTTCCACACATGGGAAGAGTGTTCCACACATGGGGAGAGTGTTCCACACATGGGAAGAGCGTTTCACACATTGTGAGAGCGTTCCACATATGGGGAGAGCATGGGAAGAGCGTTTCACACATGGGGAGAGTGTTCCACACATGGGAGATACCTTGGGATCCTACAGTTGATGGTTTGTAGATTAGATCCATCCCTAAGACTATATAATCATATAGACACATTTAGTAACAAATAAGCTCTATAAGGCGTAAAAGCAATGTTTGACACTGGTGGAGAGGGCAGCCATCTGCTTCAGGATTTTAAGAAACTACACTATATGTCACTGCCAACAGATCACCAAGTGGTCAAGTGAGGGACATCATTAATGATGATGCTGACTGCTCACCTGAGTTTAGTCAATTAGTGTCATCAAAGAATCTGATATAATCTACTGAAAGTAGGAAATACGAAATTCTTTCCCTGGAAGAACTAGCAAATATACAGGGGAGGGGGTTGCCCCCACCAGCCAATACTCCAGCCCCCGGGCGTAGGACGGGACCCTGTTCAAGGGGGAGTGAGCTAGCCTAGTGCTGATGAGGGCAGCGCACGTCGATACCGGCATGGTATGTTGCCGACTCCCTGGGTGCAGACAATACAAATACCACACTCATTTCACAGTTATCACTCGGGGTTAGTTGAGATCAAACTCTATGGTTGTATCATAGCATGAGATATTGTCTATCTAAAGACATTGATCCTGTAACGTGATATCAAATACATATAAGCGATCGATATAAGAGAAGAGAGATCGCGTTCTAGCCCAACAAAAGAACAGTGTACGTCTTACATTAAATGTGATGGTACCATGTAGTCAAAGTACAATAATTGGGAAAGACATGGCGCACCTGTCAAAGTGACTTGAAAGGGGGTATGGCAGGTAAATGATGGCGGCCTGCTTCGATTAGGAAGCAGGCTAGACAAGACCGATCGCCTGTTGCGTCGCCGGCCGACATTCGTGTTATCTATGACATTGCTAGCACGCTATATTAGGTAATCAAGTCAAATTACCTGTGTGGACAATGTGGATACTCTGTTTTCCTCAAAATAACATGTCCACTACCTGTCCAATGCCGTCTGTCACCGTAAAGTCCTGCGTTGTCACATTGAGGTCACACCCATGTAAACCAGTCTCATTCACTCGGTGGGAGCACAAGCACCAGTGACGTCATCAAACCCGGTGGTCTTTCGCACCTGAGCTGTTCTGTGTCACTGTGCGAAGTCAGTTCACATGCATTTGTACTTTTCTTTCACAGACGTATTATTTACTGCATGAATAACATTACAGCTGCGCACGTGTGTTTGTTTATTTATTGTAAGCGCGTGTTCTCGGTTGCCCATATAGCCGGGCCCGAGCCCCTGTGTTGATGACGTTTACCCCGCAGACAAGACGATAGCGGTCTGACAACTACTCATGTCTTAGATGACCGGCAAGTGTCCGCTCTAAAGATAGAAGAGCGCAGACGACGAACTGGCGTGTTCTTAATAGCGACTGTGTAACGTTGAAATATTTCAATATTGAAAAATCTAATGTACATTAAAATAATCATATGTAAGGAATAACGTTTTGCCCATTATTGGATCGATGCTAAATGTAACAGCAATATGTGATTTCCATCAATGTATTGTTAAGCCTGTCTTGCTGATTGTAGTTAAGGCGACACATAACTTGAACATATATTTAACGATGCCTAGTGTTACACATCTTATCATATCAAAGCAAACATAAATACCCCCACCCGAGCGCCCGAACACCTGTGTATGAATAGCTGTCAATAAGTGTAACAAACAAATGAGCGTCATTTGTCCAGGACACAAGTGTAATCTATATTCAATTTCATATGAGGTGGTTGTCATTCTCACTTTTCACCGAGTTTCTACACGAGGCGTGGCATCTGTGACCAAACATAGCTTAAAACACGAACATTTACAGACGTGGGCACATTGGGACGTGGGCTAATTGTCATACCTCAGTATTGTAGATCTATGTATTGAAAAAAGACGTGTTCTGAAACTTACGGTGATAACTATGTTCAAATCCCAAGTATATTATTACCGTTTACGAGGTCCTATCTATATGCTATCTTAAACGGTGTCACATTTTATTGTAGTGAAATTAGATAATCTCCGCACTTTGAACTCCGTCTGCTATAACTATATGTAGAGAACTAGAAAACCTCTCCCCAGTCAATTCATGCCCAGAAGCCACCGTTGGTCCATACGTGAGCAGAGGCCTGATGTACACCTATGTAACCAAGACAGTACGGACATGTTCGCCAGGTCCGCTATAACTGATTCTGAAAGTGTTGCCATCCACTGACGGATGTTGAATGTATCGCCATCCACTGACGGATGTTGAATGTATCGCCACCCACTGAGGGATGTTGAATGTATCGCCATCCACTGACGGATGTTGAATGTATCGCCATCCACTGAGGGATGTTGAATGTATCGCCATCCACTGAGGGATGTTGAATGTATCGCCATCCACTGACGGATGTTGAATGTATCGCCATCCACTGACGGATGTTGAATGTATCGCCATCTACTGACGGATGTTGAATGTATTGCCATCCACTGAGGCATGTTGAATGTAAGGTTTTGACCCTAGAGAAAAATACTCCCTAATACATTTATGACCGCATAAGTCGCAAGTGTATGGGGACACGTGCCCTAGCTTATCCACCGTTAAACGTTGGGCAGCTATGTTCAAGGCTGGGTGAACAAGACCCTATGTCTGGACGTCCCTCAATTTCCACCAATGAAGATTCAATCCAGGAGATAGAAAAAACTGATACTGTCAGACTTATTACAGGTGCTGAAAAAACTGACATTGCCAGAGAAGATTTAGAGCTAATTGAGGAGGATTTCGCCAAATTCAAAAAGAGATTAGTAACGGGTGATGAAACATGGGTCTACCACTATGATCCCGAGTCAAAATGTCAATCCATAGAACGACACCATTCCACTTCTCCGGCACCAAAGAAATTCAAGTCTTCAAGATCAGTGAAGAAAGTTATGGCTATTGTATTCTGGGATACAAAGGGTGTGATCCTTGTTGATTACTTAGAAAGTCAAAAGACGATTACCGGTGCCTACTATGCTGATTTTCTTCATCGCCTGAGAGATTCTATCAAAGTAAAGTGGCGAGGAATGCCGACTACTCGATGAAAATGCCTCTTCTCACATCTCTCGACTTGCAAAGGCAGCTGCGCGACAATGTGGGTTCGAAGCGCTTCCTCACCCACCTTACTCGCCAGACCTGGCACCAAGTGATGTCCACCTGTTTCCTTAACTGAAAGAACACCTTCGTTGGAAGCCTATGACGACAACGATGACTTCAAAGCTGCCGTGGAAGGGTTTTTCAGGCTGGCTTCAGAAAACGTCTTCCTGACTGGAATTGTTTCATCGATATGAAAAGTGTATTGAAAAGCATTATTATGTTGAAAACATCATGTTGAAAAATAACACTTTCGTAATTGTTGGTTTTGTTTGTTAGGCTTACAACTTTTTGACCAGGCCTCGTACCATCCACTGACTTCCTCAAAGTAATCACAAAAACACTTTGAATCCTTGTGTTGGCGACATCTCGACAGGAGTTCTCAGTGCATCATGTTAATATTATAGCCACAATGCATAAGAAATTTACCTTAATCAGGGATTTTATACATACTACCTGCTTTAATCAACTAAGGGTACGGGTTTTTGGTCAAGGATTGATTCATATTGTGATCACAAGTTTCAATAAAGTTTCAATAAAGACAATGGTCATACCAGTAGAATGGATCACATGAAACATTTGAAATGAAGTCCCAAAACAGACCAGGCGTTTAATTGATTTCCCCAGGCTTACTATGGTTGACGACAGGGCTGTGCACCTACAGAGGAACATGCACACAAGCCAGAGACATGAAGCAGTTACGGCTACGCATGACCTTGACTGAATTCAATTCTAGAATCTATATATTTAACGAATCACTTGTATGGAGTGGCGATATGCTTAATACTTCGTTACTAATGGCCGGATTAATCTCAGGTGAACGTATATGAGAGGTCAGCGTTTCTAAGACACAGGTATGGGCCCATGTCGGTATGTTGTGTCACTGTTTGAGATAGTTGTACAGAGAGGGACTCACAGCTCTACGTGAAAGGGATTCTCTCACTCGACGCCCATCTTACAGTATGAAAGAACACACGTCAGTATAGACAGAGCTGCGGTTATATACTGCATGATGTTTTGTGTATTCGTAAATAAACCTTGGCCGATATTGCAATATGATCTAAGATATAAGTTGTAACACTTGGTCGCGCACGGTCGCGTGTGTTATGTCAGATGACATAGCTTTATTAACTGAAGTGGCGCGCGGTAATTACATTCAAGTGTATATTTCCGAGAGCCACGCTCCCATACAGTAAAGGCCCGGACTTGGACACAATTGTTTCTTGCTGCACGTGATAATCTAACATTGTGCAATCGTGTTACGTACTCATGTTGGCAAAAAAAAGTGTTTTTAATCTCCCTGCACATACGATATATTTATTAATCACCGCTGGTGGTAGCAATTGTCAAACAGTGTGGCAAGTGTAGGCAGGGTACACTGATGTGTGTTACATGTATATATAATATGGGTGAGTGAGGGAATGAGTGTGCTCGTGTGCTCGTGAGTGAGGCCCGAAGTGATGCAGGTCTCAGACGTTTACCACTTCGGTGAAACCCACGAGCACGGGTATGGAGCTGACAAACCTAGAAACATAATCGGGGCGAATCAGGATTCGAACCCACAATCATATGTTTCTGGCGTGCCCAAGGGACGCAACTCTGCACAGCGAATCACGGCGCCCTAGATGACTGGGCCACCCGTGCCCCCTTCAGATATATATATATATATATATTATGCCGGTATAAAACCTGTCTGCTGCGAGCGTCGGTATATCCAGCCGTCGATGTACATCATCACTGACAAGTCTTACGGAGGACATACACAAGTATTCAAGCTACAGATACTACCCGTGCATGTTACATGCGATAGCAGTTTTCATTTCAGTAAGTGACCAATTGATTCGCCCGTGCATGCAAGAACACAACTGACGGTGGGTCAGATAACCTGGGATCCATCCGCACAGATACCTACTCGACATCTAGAGTATTCCGATGTATTTACCGCGGTTTTCCAGATACTCTCTGGAAGTGGGGATGGAAGTGTTTTATTCATCCTCTAGTGCACTTAGCATCACACCAATCAGAAGTGGTTAGAAACTGTCGGGTTTATGAAGGTATGTTGAGGCACGTTATGCCCTCAGTTTGAATGGTAAGTCAGGGGACTTGTAGTCTGGGAGCACCACGTCCTTGTGCAGTTGGACTTGCAGACGGGACGCTTGTGAACCTAATTACTCACCTTGGCTAATCTGGCATGATAACATTGTGAAGGACCAACATATACTTTCTGTTGATCAGTTTTTTCAAAATGATAAAAAAACACACACCACATGTTGTTGCAAACTTATTACGAAAGTATAATCATTTGGCGCGATATAAACTCTGAGAGATATACACACTATTGACCATCAAGTGTCAGATCACAGATCACAGATCTCACACAGCACTAGGGATAAAATGGGCCACTTCACAGATTACACCCAGGACGACATGTGAGGTAACATGATAATTACTGTCGCTAAATGAATGTCAATGCGTCAATAATCTGTATGGCCTCCACGCGATGATCCCAAAGATGTTCGTTCAATGGGTAACATATAATTATAAGGGCCGGCCATGGCAAAACATTGACGTTGTTCGTGGTCGGATACTGTTGTACAACATGAGCTGTGTCATGTCTTGCATTGTCCTGTTGAAACAAGATCCTGGGGTTGGGCTGCGAGAACGGTAACACGAGGCCAATGTAAAGCTGGGCATTAAGATTAAGGTTGAACTTGGCGCGTCCAACGCAAACGCCGAAGCCGATGTTGCCACGTCAACGTCATTCCTCTGAATGGTCGATAGGCCTCGATACCATGCTCTCAAAGTCGGCGATTATCTATAATATAGTGTGACGACTGATGACACGTGCAAGCGCAGTGAATGCAGATCACGTCAAAGTGAGGAATCTGCTACGTAGATGTAAGGTGCGGGGATAGCGGTTTGGTGCGATGTTTCCTACCCCACAAAAACCAAACACTATATGTAAACCATTATTAATAATGTTACTTTAACAATCAAATCAATAGAAGGCAATGTCGATACAAAATGTCATCAGATGTGAAAAAGAGGGACGGCCACCACCAGATCCACTCCTCTGGATCCGCCGGGGCGGTCGGGTAGCCTAGTGGTTAAAGCGTTCGCTCGTCACGCCGAAGACCCGGGTTCGATTCCCGACACGGGTACATTGTGTGAAACCCATTTCTGGTGTCTCCCGTCGTGATATTGCTGGAATATTGCTAAAAGCGGCGTAAAACCATACTCACTCACTCTGGATCCGCCACACCTGTATGACTGACAACAAGGCGACTATGCAGAGACGAAATCAGACACATCCTGGTCTGCCCTTATCAGCGAGGATCTCCAGACTGAGAGATTATGAGGTCGCCGATCACCTCACAAGTGAGTGCTTACAGTTGTGCAAGAGTATGTGCGCTGTTTAAATAATATTTATATGGGGCCGGGATTGTTGGTTTTTCACATTATACCTAAGAACTAAGAACAATATTTCTAAGGGTTTTAGGTTTCTATCAATGCAATTGCCACATGTAAACTGACTGTACAATTGGCTGTATCCTCGTGACGATGTATCCGCGTCTGTATCTTCGTGACGATGTATCCTCCGCTATATCCTCGTGACGATGTTTCCTCGGCTGTAGCCACGTGACGATGTACATGTGGTTGTATCCTCGTGATGGCGTACTCGTGTGTGTATCCTCGTGACGATGTATCCTCGGCTGTATCCTCGTGACGATGTATCCTTGGTTGTATCCTCGCGACGATGTACTCGTGATTGTATCCTCGTGACGATGTACTCGTGATTGTATCATCGTGACGATGTAATCGTGGTTGTATCCTCGTGACGATGTACACGTGGTTGTATCCTCGTGACGTTGTACTCGTGGTTGTATCCTCGTGACGATGTAATCATAGCTGTATCCTCGTGACGCTGTAGTCGTGGTTGTATCCACGTGACGATGTACCCACTCATGACAATACGGGTCAATATGAAGATCGTGTGAAGATCCTCGTGACGATGTACACGTGGTTGTATCCTCGTGACGATGTAATCGTGGTTGTATCCTCGTGACGATGTACTCATGGTTGTATCCTAGTGACGATGTAATCGTGGTTGTATCCTAGTGACGATGTACACGTGGTTGTATCCTCGTGACGATGTACTCGTGGTTGTATCCTCGTGACGATGTAGTCGTGGTTGTATCCTCGTGACGATGTACACGTGGTTGTATCCTCGTGACGATGTACACGTGGTTGTATCCTCGTGACGATATAATCGTGGTTGTATCCTCGTGACGATGTACACGTGGTTGTATCCTCGTGACAATTTAATCGTGGTTGTATCCTCGTGACGATGTTCTCATGGTTGTATCCTCGTGACGATGTAATCATGGTTGTATCCTAGTGACGATGTACACGTGGTTGTATCTTCGTGACGATGAACACGTGGTTGTATCCTCGTGACAATTTAATCGTGGTTGTATCCTCGTGACGATGTACTCGTGGTTGTATCCTCGTGACGATGTAATCGTGGTTGTATCCTAGTGACGATGTACACGTGGTTGTATCCTCGTGACGATGTAGTCGTGGTTGTAGCCTCGTGACGATGGTTGTATCATCATGACGATGTACCCACTCATGGCAATACGGGTCAATAAGAAGATTGTATGAAGATCGTACGTGATATTATGACACAATACGTGTGTAATCAGGGTACTTGTACGTCACTAAATAAACACTGTGGCTTAGTGTGCACAGTTTATCAAATTGAGCTAATCACAAATTAATTCAGTTACTTCCGTGTTGCAGGGGTCGTGATAAGGTCGGGTACAAAGGTTGGGGCAGAAGGTAGCCAGGAGTTCGTCCCACAGGAGACATACGTTAGTTTCCCCACTGCCAGCGTATGTCGGGTCAGATCCCTGTGTCTGCTCCTATGGCATTGCATCAACAGCGTTGCGCGTAGAAACCACACCCACTCTAAAGGTTCGATTACTTTCAATGACTGACAAAGAAAGCGTCTTACCATAATAACGCTTCTCTTTCCATTCAGAATTACTGTGGTCACAATATTTTACGTCAGCTTCTCACAGTAAATATTTGGAATAGGATAAAACACAACAAAACGTCTGATTTGGCGTCGTTTTAATGTAATCGTGAAAGCAAATTAAAAAACGTGACTGCCGTCATTGTGTAGCTTATTTCACACAGAAAGCTGATTTTGAAATGTAAACTGAATCGTTTAAAAAATCATACTATGTTAAAAGTGAGTGAGATGGGTTTAAACAAGTGCATTTTCAAAACGGAGGGTCCAAAATATCAAAATCCTCTGAGTCAATTTTACTGCCTACATTATACTACATTTGGTTTTAAAAAAACCCTGGGCCCAAATCTGGATTGTAAAGGCAGGCCGTATGGTATTATATAAATATGTGTCAAGTTATAATGTGTTTGAAGTATTATTCTGTTAATCTCGATTGGATTATGCTGTTGGTCGCGTAATTATGTCTGCCTATTTACACACGACAGTGAAATTTAAAAATGAAATAAAAACGGCAAGTAATAAATAATATTCTAAACTCACTCCTGTGTAATATCAATTTTATGAAACTTGTGAATAGTTTCAAAACTTTGGTATTACACTTGGTATCTGATTGGTCAGATACCAAACCTATTCACTCGTTTCATAAAATTGATATTACACAGGAGCGAGTTTAGTATTCTATATTTACATCACAGCCTGTCAGCACAAGTAAGTGAGTGAATTGTGAATTGGGCTTAACACCACTTTGAACATTATCTCAGTTATAACACCTTGTATTTCCCTAATGATGGAGGACAGCCTGAAGTGATGCATGTCTCAGATGTTACCACTTTGGTGAAACCCTGGAGCACGGATATGGTGCTGATTAACCTAGAAATCAGGGCTATCCGGGATTCCATAGGTTTCTGGTGTACACAAGGGACACAACTCTGCACAGCGAATTGCAGAGCCTTAGATGACTGGGCTACCCATGCCACCTGTCAGCTTGATGTGGAAGGTATACCCAAATGATACAAGTCCCAGACGTAAACCACTTTGATGAGGATGGTATGGTGCTGAGTGCACTTGGATTCAAACACTCGATCACGGGGTCCAGGATCCGGATCTGCACAGCGACTTCCGGCAGAATTATCACAAGCCAATCACTAAAAGGTAGTTGTTGATTTATTGCATCACTTTATCATTACAAGTAAGCAGGACTTTGAACAAGCGGAGTTGACCCTCACCTGTACAGCTCTGTACACACACAGAGAATATAGCATACAATAAATACAGCGCTAAGAGAAATTCTGTACAACATTAGCACCTGATACATATCAGAGAAACATTCATGTAGACACAACTGTAGGCCTCAGATGTCTGGTGGTTGCATGAAGGTGTGATAATTATTAGCAAACCAGACAAAACTTTGTTGACCAGGACCCCGCTCCACACAGTGATCTTAGTGCTACGATGATCGTAGGCCTATGTTAAAGTATGGGAGTTACGATCACCTGAGCACTAAGATCTTGGGGAACAGGGCCCTGTTGAGTGGCCATATATACCAAAACACGTTGAGGGGGAGCATTTCTGTGATCCAGGGAAAGATATGGTTGTTGTGGCTTTGTTATTTGGAATAAGGTGTTTCCTTATTGTCCACTTTACCAAGTTGTGTAATGGGTACCAGGAAGGATGACACGTCTGGAATACTTCCTGGGGAGTTAATGACAGATTACTGGTTGAATTAAGTAGGATGGGCATGGGTGTAGCTCGTTATCATAATTATGAACAGTAAAAACAAGACAAAAAGTAAGAAATCCATAGCTAAACTAAATCTTTTTTTCCACCAGTTCGAAAATGTAACTCAGTGGGAAACACTGTTCTTTAGCCACAGTACAGCTTTCTAGGTTGCACTAACCTACAAGCCCCGAGACATCTTCTGTTGATGGCCGAAACTGCCTTCTCGTATGTGATCACTTTATTATAGGCCTATACTATACATAGGAACAGTATTAGGGAATAAAGTGTGGTGTGCACTTGGGTGAAGATGCTATACTATCCGAGTGCGGCTGCTTCTAGCTGGTACCGTCACATTCCTCTTGATGAACACACCACCATCACCGTAGCTCTTCTTCTTGGCTGACCCAGACCTCTTCTTGCGGGACCTTTGTCTCAAGTCCTCATCACTCATCTGAAACATACAGTCATTTCAGTCTGAAACACAAAGCAGTAAAACAAATCAACACGCTATGTACTCACACACACACACAGACACGCCAGATATATTCCCTCTCACACACACACAGACACACCAGATTTATTCCCTCTCACACACACACAGACACGCCAGATATATTCCCTCTCACACACACACACAGACACACCAGATATATTCCCTCTTTCACACAGACACGCCAGATATATTCCCTCTCACACAGACACACAGACACGCCAGATTTATTCCCTCTCACACAGACACACAGACACGCCAGATATATTCCCACTCACACACACACACAGACATACCAGATATATTCCCTCTCACACACACACACACAGACATGCCAGACATACTCCCTCTCACACACACACACAGACATGCCAGATATACTCTCTCTCACACACACACACAGACACGCCAGATATATTCCCTCTCACACAGACACGCCAGATATATTCCCTCTCACACACACACACAGACACACCAGATATACTCCCTCTCTCATACACACACACACATACATGCCAGATATACTCCCTCTCTCACACACACACAGACACGCCAGATATACTCTCTCTCTCACACACACAGACAGACATGCCAGATATACTCCCTCTCACATACACACATAGACACACCATATATACTCCCTCTCACACACACACACAGACACGCAAGATATACTCCCTCTCACACACACACAGAGACACGCCAGATATACTCCCTCTCACACACACAGACACGCCAGATATACTCCCTCTCTCACACACACACAGACACACCATATATACTCCCTCTCACACACACACACAGACACGCAAGATATACTCCCTCTCACACACACACAGAGACACGCAAGAAAGACTCCCTCTCACACACACAGACACGCCAGATATACTCCCTCTCACACACACACAGACATGCCAGATACACTCCCTCTCTCACACACACACAGACACGCCAGATATATTCCCTCTCACACACACACACAGACACGCCAGATATATTCCCTCTCACACACACACACGCCAGATATATTCCCTCTCACACACACACACAGACACGCCAGATATTATTCCCTCTCACACACACACACAGACATGCCAGATACACTCCCTCTCACACACACACACAGACATGCCAGATATATTCCCTCTCACACAGACACACAGACACGCCAGATATAATCCCTCTTTCACACTGACACACAGACACACCAGATATATTCCCTTTCACACACACACAAATATGCCAGATATACTCCCTCTCACACACACAAAGACATGCCAGATATACTCCCTCACTCACACAGACACGCCAGATATATTCCCTCTCACACACACACAGACACACCAGATATATTCCCTCTCACACACACACACAGACATGCCAGATATATTCCCTCTCACACAGACACACCAGATATAATCCCTCTTTCACACAGACACAGACATGCCAGATATACTCCCTCTTTCCGACAGACACGCCAGATATATGGCCTCTCACACACACACACACAGACACGCCAGATATAATCCCTCTCTCACACACACACACAGACATGCCAGATATACTCCCTCTTTCACACAGACATGCCAGATATACTCCCTCTTTCACACACACACAGTCATGCCAGATATTCTCCCTCTTTCACACAGACATGCCAGATACACTCCCTCTCACACACACAGACACACCAGATATACTCCCTCTCTCACACACACAGACATGCCAGACACACTCCCTCTCACACACACACACAGACACGCCAGATATACTCCCTCTTTCACACACACACTCCAGATAGACTCCCTCTAACACACACAGACACGCCAGATAGACTCCCTCTCACACACACAGACAGACATGCCAGATACACTCCCTCTCTCACACACACACACAGACACACCAGATATACTCCCTCTTTTATACACACAGACACGCCAGATATATTCCCTCTCACACACACACACAGACACGCCAGACATACTCCCTCTCACACACACACACAGACACGCCAGATATACTTCCTCTTTCACACACACACAGACACGCCAGATATATTCCCTCTTTCACACACACAGACACGCCAGATATACTCCCTCTCACACACACACAGACACGCCAGATATACTCCCTCACACACACACACACATACACGCCAGATATACTCTCACACACACACACAGACATGCCAGATATTCTCCCTCTCACACACACACAGACACGCCAGATATACTCCCTCTCTCATACACACACACACATACACGCCAGATATACTCTCTCTCTCACACACACACAGTCAAGCCAGATATACTCCCTCTTTCACACACACACAGACACGCCAGATATACTCCCTCTCACACACACAGACATGCAAGATATACTTCCTCTCTCACACACACACAGACAAGCTAGATATACTCCCTCTCTCACACACACACACACACACACACAGACATGCCAGATATATTCCCTCTCACACACACAGACATGCAAGATATACTTCCTCTCTCACACACACACAGACATGCCAGATATACTCCCTCTCTCTCACACACACACAGACATGCCAGATATACTCCCTCTCTCACACACACACAGACATGCCAGATATACTCTCTCTCTCACACACACACAGTCAAGCCAGATATACTCCCTCTCTCACACACACACACAGACACGCCAGCTATACTCCCTCTCACACACACAGACATGCAAGATATACTTCCTCTCTCACACACACACAGACATGCCAGATATACTCCCTCTCTCTCACACACACACAGACATGCAAGATATACTTCCTCTCTCACACACACACAGACATACCAGATATACTCCCTCTCACACACACACAGACATGCCAGATATACTCCCTCTCTCACACACATACAGACATGCCAGATATACTCCCTCTCTCACACACACACAGACATGCCAGATATACTCCCTCTCTCACACACACACAGACATGCCAGATATACTCCCTCTCTCACACACACACAAAGACATGCCAGATATACTCCCTCTCACACACACACAGACATGCCAGATATACTCCCTCTCTCACACACACACACAGACACGCCAGCTATACTCCCTCTCACACACACACATATACATGCCAGATATACTCCCTCTCTCACACACACACACAGACATGCCAGATATACTCTCTCTCTCACACACACACAGACACACCAGATATACTCCCTCTCTCACACACACACAGTCAAGCCAGATATACTCCCTCTCTCACACACACACAGACACGCCAGATATACTCCCTCTCACACACACAGACATGCAAGATATACTTCCTCTCTCACACACACACAGACAAGCCAGACATACTCCCTCTCACAAACACACACACAGACATGCAAGATATACTCCCTCTCTCACACACACAGACAAGCCAGATATACTCCCTCTTTCACACACACACACACAGACATGCCAGATATACTCTCTCTCACACACACACACACACAGACATGCCAGATATACTCTCTCTCTCACACACACACACACAGACATGCCAGATATACTCTCTCTCTCACATACTGTAGGTACTTACAGGGTCCATCTTGGTGTTGTCCAGGTGTGAGCGCAGGTAGGCCAGCTCACGGCGGAAGTCGTCCAGCTGACACTCTAGTTTCTCCCGCTTGACCCTCTCATACTCCAGCAGTGTCTCCAGCTCCTTGATGGTGCTGCACAAACAAAACTCACCTCAGTATGCACCAATGTCACATGCCAAGACAAATACCCCTGGCTTGTAGCATAATCTTACTAATATATATATATATATATAGCTAATTTTTTTTTGCTTTATTTTAGTTCCAGTGGCAAACATGTCGCTGCATTTACATCAGCTAGAAATGAACCCCTATACATCTATCATTGTAATATAGGGGGGACACCGCCCATCCCCTCCCCTATGATGCTGTACGTACTGATCTTTGTCTCTCATCAGCTGCAGGCGATGTCTGTCCTCTACCAAAGTGCCTCCCAGCTGGCTGAAGTTTCTCTTGGCAATGTCCAGAAGACGCTCCAGCTCATCCACACGCATCTTGGCCCGACCTGATATTACAAATGTAGTTTAATGGTAATGTTCCTGAAGCAGCAGGGGCGTTGGGGTAGCCTAGTGGTTAAAGCTTTCAGTCGCCACTCCAAAGGCCCAGGTTCGATTCCCCACATGAGTACAATGTGTGAAGCCCGTTTCTGGTGTTCCCCGCAGTGATATTGATTGAATATTGCTAAAAGCGGTGAAAACCTTACTCACTCTGTCACTCAGTGTTCTAGTTGTGATGATCCTGTAGCCTACCTTTTGCCATGGCCTCGTTAGACCGCGCATCTCCGCCCATCTCCTCTTCCCGGGGCTCATCAACAACTACTTCAGTGTCCTGCTCGGTGTCCCCCCCCAGCAGCTTGATACAGGCTAGCTGAGCGAACCTGCGGGCCACGTCCTTCGGCGTCTCTCCTGCCTGGTTCATGATGGCCATGTCTGCACCCATCTGGATGAGCCACTGCAGCACATGGATGTGGCCCTGACCGGCAGCTGGACAACACACACAGATGGTTATTATCAAAAGGGCTAGTCAACATGCATTAGAGATGGTTATTATCAAAGGGGCTAGTCAACATGCATTAGAGATGGTTATTATCAAAGGGACTAGTCAACATGCATTAGAGATGGTTATTATCAAAGGGGCTAGTCAACATGCATTAGAGATGGTTATTATCAAAGGGACTAGTCAACATGCAATAGAGATGGTTATTATCAAAGGGGCTAGTCAACACAGCAACATACATTAGAGATGGTTATTATCAAAGGGACTACTCAACATGCAATAGAGATGGTTATTATCAAAGGGGCTAGTCAACACAGCAAACGTACATTACAGATGGTTATTATCAAAGGGCGACTAACATGCAATAGAGATGGTTATTATCAAAGGGGTTAGTCAACATACATTACAGATGGCTATTATCAAAGGGGCTAGTCAACACACCAACATACATTACAGATGGTTATTATCAAATGGTACAAAGATTTACCTGATGTCTTCAACATTATTGCCCTTCCAATCATTAATCATATGGTAGGGTAGTTCTCCCCAAATGTCTTACGTTTAAGTAAACCTCCTGGTAGGGTTGCTTTTTTATGACCCTACTCAAAATATGTTATGCACCCAGCTTGCTTTACTCCTCAAACAAGAAAAAACAATGTTACTGTATAATCTGGATTGTCTTGACCTTGTCTTCACTTATCATGTTTAAATAGTTCCACCTTTCAAACAGACATTTCTTTATATACCTGTGAAGGGCCTGCGATGTCAGGGGTGTAAAGTGTACCTGTGAAGGGCCTGTAGTGTCAGGGGTGTAAAGTGTACCTGTGAAGGGCCTGTAGTGTCAGGGGTGTAAAGTGTACCTGTGAAGGGCCTGTAGTGTCAGGGGTGTAAAGTGTACCTGTGAAGGGCCTGCCATGTCAGGAATATAAAGTGTACCTGTGAAGGGCCTGTAGTGTCAGGGGTGTAAAGTGTACCACTGGAGGGCCTGTAGTGTCAGGAGTGTAAAGTGTATCTGTGAAGGGCCCGCGATGTCAGGAGTGTAAAGTGTATCTGTGAAGAGCCTGTAGTGTCAGGAGTGTAAAGTGTTCCTGTGAAGGGCCTGTAGTGTCATGGCTGTAAAGTGTACCTGTGAAGGGCCCGCGATGTCAAGAATATAAAGTGTACCTGTGAAGGGCCTGCCATGTCAGGAATATAAAGTGTACCTGTGAAGGGCCTGCGATGTCAGGAGTGCAAAGTGTACCTGTGAAGGGCCTGTAGTGTCAGGAGAGTAAAGTGTACCTGTGTAGGGCCTGCAATGTCAGGAATATAAAGTGTACCTGTGAAGGGCCTGTAGTGTCAGGAGTGTAAAGTATACCTGTGAAGGGCCTGTGATGTCAGGAGTGTAAAGTGTATCTGTGAAGGGCCTGCGATGTCAGGAATATAAAGTGTACCTGTGAAGGGCCTGTAGTGTCAGGAATATAAAGTGTACCTGTGAAGGGCCTGTAGTGTCAGGAGTGTAAAGTATACCTGTGAAGGGCCTGCGATGTCAGGAGTGTAAAGTGTACCTGTGAAGGGCCTGTAGTGTCAGGGGTGTAAAGTGTACCTGTGAAGGGCCTGCGATGTCAGGAGTGTAAAGTGTACCTGTAAAGGGCTGGCGTTGTAAGGAGTGTAAAGTGTACCAGTGAAGGGCATCTAGTGTCAGGAGTGTAAAGTGTACCAGTGAAGGGCCTGTAGTGTCAGGAGTGTAAAGTGTACCTTTGAAGGGCCTGTGATGTCAGGAGTGTAAAGTGTACCTGTGAAGGGCCTGTAGTGTCAGGAGTGTAAAGTGTACCAGTGAAGGCCCTTTAGTGTCAGGAGTGTAAAGTGTACCTGTGAAGGGCCTGTGATGTCAGGATTGTAAAGTGAACCAGTGAAGGGCCTGTAGTGTCAGGAGTGTAATGTGTACCTGTGAAGGGCCTGTAGTGTCAGGAGTGTAAAGTGTACCTGTGAAGGGCCTGCAATGTCAGGAGTGTAAAGTGTACCTGTGAAGGGCCTGTAGTGTCAGGGGTGTAAAGTGTACCTGTGAAGGGCCTGCCACGTCAGGAATATAAAGTGTACCTGTGAAGGGCCTGTAGTGTCAGGGGTGTAAAGTGTACCACGGGAGGGCCTGTAGTGTCAGGAGTGTAAAGTGTATCTGTGAAGGGCCCGCGATGTCAAGAATATAAAGTGTACCTGTGAAGGGCCTGCCATGTCAGGAATATAAAGTGTACCTGTGAAGGGCCTGCGATGTCAGGAGTGCAAAGTGTACCTGTGAAGGGCCTGTAGTGTCAGGAGAGTAAAGTGTACCTGTGTAGGGCCTGCAATGTCAGGAATATAAAGTGTACATGTGAAGGGCCTGTAGTGTCAGGAGTGTAAAGTATACCTGTGAAGGGCCTGCGATGTCAGGAGTGTAAAGTGTATCTGTGAAGGGCCTGCGATGTCAGGAATATAAAGTGTACCTGTGAAGGGCCTGTAGTGTCAGGAATATAAAGTGTACCTGTGAAGGGCCTGTAGTGTCAGGAGTGTAAAGTATACCTGTGAAGGGCCTGCGATGTCAGGAGTGTAAAGTGTACCTGTGAAGGGCCTGTAGTGTCAGGGGTGTAAAGTGTACCTGTGAAGGGCCTGCGATGTCAGGAGTGTAAAGTGTACCTGTAAAGGGCTGGCGTTGTAAGGAGTGTAAAGTGTACCAGTGAAGGGCATCTAGTGTCAGGAGTGTAAAGTGTACCAGTGAAGGGCCTGTAGTGTCAGGAGTGTAAAGTGTACCTTTGAAGGGCCTGTGATGTCGGGAGTGTAAAGTGTACCTGTGAAGGGCTTGCGATGTAAGGATTGTAAAGTGAACCAGTGAAGGGCCTGTAGTGTCAGGAGTGTAATGTGTACCTGTGAAGGGCCTGTAGTGTCAGGAGTGTAAAGTGTACCTGTGAAGGGCCTGCGATGTCAGGAATGTAAAGTGTACCTGTGAAGGGCATGTAGTATCAGGAGCGTAAAGTGTACCTATGAAGGGCCTGTGATGTCAGGATTGTAAAGTGTACCTGTGAAGGGCCTGTAGTATCAGGAGCGTAAAGTGTACCTATGAAGGGCCTGTGATGTCAGGATTGTAAAGTGTACCTATGAAGGGCCTGTAGTGTCAGGAGTGTAAAGTGTACCTGTGAAGGGCATGTAGGCTCAGGGGTGTAAAGTGTACATGTGAAGGGCATGTAGTGTCAGGAGTGTAAAGTGTACCAGTGAAGGGCATGTAGTGTCAGGAGTGTAAAGTGTACCAGTGAAGGGCATGTAGTGTCAGGAGTGTAAAGTGTACCAGTGAAGGGCATGTAGTGCCAGGAGTGTAAAGTGTACCTGTGAAGGGCCTGTAGTGTCAGGAATGTAAAGTGTACCAGTGAAGGCCCTGTAGTGTCAGGAGTGTAAAGTGTACCTGTGAAGGGCCTGTGATGTCAGGATTGTAAAGTGAACCAGTGAAGGGCCTGTAGTGTCAGGAGTGTAATGTGTACCTGTGAAGGGCCTGTAGTGTCAGGAGTGTAAAGTGTACCTGTGAAGGGCCTGCAATGTCAGGAGTGTAAAGTGTACCTGTGAAGGGCCTGTGGAGGGTCAGGAGTGTAAAGTGAACCAGTGAAGGGCCTGTAGTGTCAGGAGTGTAAAGTGTACCTGTGAAGGGCCTGCGACGTCAGGAGTGTAAAGTGTACCTGTGAAGGGCCTGCGATGTCAGGATTGTAAAGTGAACCAGTGAAGGGCCTGTAGTGTCAGGAGTGTAATGTGTACCTGTGAAGGGCCTGTAGTGTCAGGAGTGTAAAGTGTACCTGTGAAGGGCCTGTGATGTCAGGAGTGTAAAGTGTACCTGTGAAGGGCCTGTAGTATCAGGAGCGTAAAGTGTACCTATGAAGGGCCTGTGATGTCAGGATTGTAAAGTGTACCAGTGAAGGGCCTGTAGTGTCAGGAGTGTAAAGTGTACCTGTGAAGGGCATTTAGGCTCAGGGGTGTAAAGTGTACATGTGAAGGGCATGTAGTGTCAGGAGTGTTAAGTGTACCAGTGAAGGCATGTAGTGTCAGGAGTGTAAAGTGTACCAGTGAAGGGCATGTAGTGTCAGGAGTGTAAAGTGTACCAGTGAAGGGCATGTAGTGCCAGGAGTGTAAAGTGTACCTGTGAAGGGCCTGTAGTGTCAGGAGTGTAAAGTGTATCAGTGAAGGCCCTTTAGTGTCAGGAGTGTAAAGTGTACCTGTGAAGGGCCTGTGATGTCAGGATTGTAAAGTGAACCAGTGAAGGGCCTGTAGTGTCAGGAGTGTAATGTGTACCTGTGAAGGGCCTGTAGTGTCAGGAGTGTAAAGTGTACCTGTGAAGGGCCTGCAATGTCAGGAGTGTAAAGTGTACCTGTGAAGGGCCTGTGGAGTGTCAGGAGTGTAAAGTGAACCAGTGAAGGGCCTGTAGTGTCAGGAGTGTAAAGTGTACCAGTGAAGGGCCTGCGATGTCAGGAGTGTAAAGTGTACCAGTGAAGGGCCTGTAGTGTCAGGAGTGTAAAGTGAACCAGTGAAGGGCCTGTAGTGTCAGGAGTGTAAAGTGTACCAGTGAAGGGCATGTAGGCTCAGGGGTGTAAAGTGTACCATTGAAGGGCATGAAGTGTCAGGAGTGTAAAGTGTACCAGTGAGAGGCCTGTAGTGTCAGGAGTGTAAAGTGTACCAGTGAAGGGCCTGTAGTGTCAGGAGTGTAAAGTGTACCTGTGAAGGGCCTGTGATGTCAGGAGTGTAGAGTGAACCAGTGAAGGGCCTGTAGTGTCAGGAGTGTAAAGTGTACCACTGAAGGGCCTGTAGTGTCAGGAGTGTAAAGTGTATCTGTGAAGGGCCCGCGATGTCAGGAGTGTAAAGTGTATCTGTGAAGAGCCTGTAGTGTCAGGAGTGTAAAGTGTTCCTGTGAAGGGCCTGTAGTGTCATGGCTGTAAAGTGTACCTGTGAAGGGCCCGCGATGTCAGGAATATAAAGTGTACCTGTGAAGGGCCTGCCATGTCAGGAATATAAAGTGTACCTGTGAAGGGCCTGTAGTGTCAGGGGTGTAAAGTGTACCTGTGAAGGGCCTGTAGTGTCAGGAGAGTAAAGTGTACCTGTGTAGGGCCTGCAATGTCAGGAATATAAAGTGTACCTGTGAAGGGCCTGTAGTGTCAGGAGTGTAAAGTATACCTGTGAAGGGCCTGCGATGTCAGGAGTGTAAAGTGTATCTGTGAAGGGCCTGCGATGTCAGGAATATAAAGTGTACCTGTGAAGGGCCTGTAGTGTCAGGAATATAAAGTGTACCTGTGAAGGGCCTGTAGTGTCAGGAGTGTTAAGTATACCTGTGAAGGGCCTGCGATGTCAGGAGTGTAAAGTGTACCTGTGAAGGGCCTGCGATGTCAGGAATATAAAGTGTACATGTGAAGGGCCTGTAGTGTCAGGGGTGTAAAGTGTACCTGTGAAGGGCCTGCGATGTCAGGAGTGTAAAGTGTACCTGTGAAGGGCATGTAGGCTCAGGGGTGTAAAGTGTACATGTGAAGGGCATGTAGTGTCAGGTGTGTAAAGTGTACCAGTGAAGGGCCTATAGTGTCAGGAGTGTAAAGTGTACCTGTGAAGGGCATGTAGTGTCAGGAGTGTAAAGTGTACCAGTGAAGGGCATGTAGTGTCAGGAGTGTAAAGTGTACCAGTGAAGGGCATGTAGTGTCAGGAGTGTAAAGTGTACCAGTGAAGGGCATGTAGTGTGATGAGTGTAAAGTGTACCAGTGAAGGCCCTTTAGTGTCAGGAGTGTAAAGTGTACCAGTGAAGGGCCTGTGATGTCAGGATTGTAAAGTGAACCAGTGAAGGGCCTGTAGTGTCAGGAGTGTAATGTGTACCTGTGAAGGGCCTGTAGTGTCAGGAGTGTAAAGCGTACCTGTGAAGGGCCTGCGATGGCAGGAGTGTAAAGTGAACCAGTGAAGGGCCTGTAGTGTCAGGAGTGTAAAGTGTACCAGTGAAGGGCCTGCGATGTCAGGAGTGTAAAGTGTACCAGTGAAGGGCCTGTAGTGTCAGGAGTGTAAAGTGAACCAGTGAAGGGCCTGTAGTGTCAGGAGTGTAAAGTGTACCTGTGAAGGGCATGTAGGCTCAGGGGTGTAAAGTGTACCAGTGAAGGGCATGTAGTGTCAGGAGTGTAAAGTGTACCAGTGAGAGGCCTGTAGTGTCAGGATTGTAAAGTGTACCAGTGAAGGGCCTGTAGTGTCAGGAGCGTAAAGTGTACCTGTGAAGGGCCTGTGATGTCAGGAGTGTAAAGTGAACCAGTGAAGGGCCTGTAGTGTCAGGAGTGTAAAGTGTACCTGTGAAGGGCATGTAGTGTCAGGAGTGTAAAGTGTACCAGGGAAGGGCAAGTAGTGTCAGGAGTGTAAAGTGTACCAGTGAAGGGCCTGTAGTGTCAGGAGTGTAAAGTGTACCAGTGAAGGGCCTGTAGTGTCAGGAGTGTAAAGTGTACCAGTGAAGAGCCTGTAGTGTCAGGAGTGTGAAGTGTACCTGTGAAGGGCCTGTAGTGTAAGGAGTGTAAAGTGTACCAGTGAAGGGCCTGTAGTGTCAGGAGTGTAAAGTGTATCTGTGAAGGGCATGTATTGTCAGGAGTGTAAAGTAAACCAGTGAAGGGCCTGTAGTGTCAGGAGTGTAAAGTGTACCTGTGAAGGGCCTGTAGTGTCAGGAGTGTAAAGTGTACCTGTGAAGGGCCTGCGATGTCAGGAGTGTAAAGTGTATCTGTGAAGGGCCTGTAGTGTCAGGATTGTAAAGTGTACCTGTGAAGGGAGCAGGTGTGCATTACCTTTATGAGCTGGTGTGGATCCCTTGTCATCCCTCTCATTGATGTTGACAACGCCATTCTCCACCAACATTCGCACATGATCCAAGTCTCCACTGGAGGCGGCCACGTGTGCAGGGAATGCTAGGTCTACAACACACAGGTCCTGGTATTATAGAAGATGTATACAGGGAATGTTAGGTCTACAACACACAGGTCCTGGTATTATGGAAGATGTATACAGGGAATGTTAGGTCTACAACACACAGGTCCTGGTATCAATTTCTTTAAAAATCAGATCTTAGTTCTCGCTCCCAATAAACAAAGATCTGAGAACATTCCATTATGGGTCATGTCAGAACCTTTCGCAAACTTTGAAAACCAATGAAATGATTAACAAGAAGTCGACATTCGCCAATCAGAAAGCAGCTTTCTTGAGCTTTACAGATGTACAGAGGTGTGACACAGAAGACTGCTACTTACTCTCGGCCTCCACTGGGTGATCTCTCTCCCACTCAATGTTGTTGATGTACTCCAGGATGTTCTCCTTGTAGAACTGTTGAGCCAGGTCTTTGGGTGTTTCCCCATTGTCATTCCTAGCGCCCAGTGTGTGCATGGTGTTGCCCGAGTTGGTGACGATGTACTTGAGACAGGGCAGGTGGCCCTCCATGGCTGCCAGGTGGGCTGCAAACAAAATACACAAGCTGGAATCAATGGAACTGTCAGCATCTGAACAACACATTTGTGTTATATAACGTGTACATACATACACGGCCAAACCACATTATCAGTGGTTCAAGAAGGGAGCTAACTCTGCTTGCCTAATCAAAAGTGCAAGGCGGGCACACAATCTAAAAATTAACACACTTGTAGAGAACATGTACTGCGACCATAACATTTTTTCAACATGAAAGTTCCCTGCTTGTTAATTGGATTAAAATGTATAAACGTGTACATCATGGATATTGGAAAACTAGGTCAGGGGCTCATAGATATTTATGAGTTATTCCTTTTATGGAACAAGTTCCTGGAAAAGTTTGAGTTTTGTGTACATACCTGGTGTGTTCTAGCTACCTTTTTGTTTGTTCTGTAACACCGCAGTCAGCAATATTCCTGCTATATGATGGCGGTCTGTAAATTACGAGCCTGGGCCAGAAAATCCAGTGATTGACATCATGAGCATCAATCCTCTCAATTGGGATACGATGACATGCATCAACAAAGTCAGCGAGTTTGACCACCTGATCCTGTTAGTCGCCTCCTACGACAAGTATAGTCACTTCTTATGGCAAGCATGGGTCTTGTAGCTACTGGGTGAGTTGTATACATACCGGGTGTGTTGCCATTGTTGTCCACTTCATCAAGATGACCTCCCCATTTGACCAGCAACTGTATGCATCCCAGTCGGCCATGATAAGCAGAGGAGTGGATGGGCGTCCATCCATGCTTGTCCAAGGCATTCACATCCTATCAAAAATGAATGATTGTAATCAGGAATTTTCTTAAGATTCAACACTTTATGATTTTACAAATATGTCCCTCAACATAATCACCTGAAAACAATTAATCTTCCAGTCATTCTGAACAAAACAGAAAATAACCACTGTGTGTAGTATGGTGTGTGGGAGGGAGGTGTAGGGACATACCCCTCCTGTGTGCAGTATGGTGTGTGGGAGTGAGGTGTAGGGACATACCACTCCTGTGTGCAGTATGGTGTGTGGGACGGTGGTGTAGGGACGTACCCCCTGTGTGTAGTATGGTGTGTGGGAGGGAGGTGTAGGGACGTACCCCCTGTGTGTAGTATGGTGTGTAGTAGGGAGGTGTAGGGACGTACCCCTCCTGTGTGTAGTATGGTGTGTGGGAGTGAGGTGTAGGGACGTACCCCTCCTGTGTGTAGTATGGTGTGTGGGAGGGAGGTGTAGGGACATACCACTCCTGTGTGTAGTATGGTGTGTGGGAGTGAGGTGTAGGGACGTACCCCTCCTGTGTGTAGTATGGTGCGTGGGATGGAGGTGTAGGGACGTACCACTCCTGTGTGCAGTATGGTGTGTGGGAGTGAGGTGTAGGGACATACCACTCCTGTGTGTAGTATGGTGTGTGGGAGGGAGGTGTAGGGACGTACCACTCCTGTTCGCAGTATGGTATGGAGGCTGAAGGAGTTGCCGTGGGCGGCCGCCAGGTGCAGGGGGGTACTGCCACGAGTGTCCTTTCCTGTCAGACTGATCCCGTTGTTAGCCAGGGCCTGTCAGCAGAACACAACTGTAAACTCATTCTAGATCATCAATCACCTCCTGACATTATCAATTAACATTGATGTTGAAAAACAGCTTCCCACCAAACACTTCAAAGGGCTGTCACTCTGCATATTAAGTGAAAATAAATCAGTCAGCAGCTTTCCATCCATTTTTTAATCAAAAGTAAGGCAGAAGGCATATTTTTATATATCTTGCTTTTCTTGCAGCTGACCATGTCTCACAATGTCAGGATGGCTCTTGCATCAAGCACACAATTCTATCCAGAAATCAGGTGAACATTCACGTTTCAGTGTGCAGCAATGTGTAAGAAGCAGAGCGAGACAGGAGATTCAGGTTAACATTCACGTTTCAGTGTGCAGCAATGTGTAAGAAGCAGAGCGAGACAGGAGATTCAGGTTAACATTCATGTTTCAGTGTGCAGCAATGTGTAAGAAGCAGAGTGAGACAGGAGATTCAGGTTAACATTCACGTTTCAGTGTGCAGCAATGTGTAAGAAGCAGAGTGAGACAGGAGATTCAGGTTAACATTCATGTTTCAGTGTGCGGCAATGTGTAAGAAGCAGAGTGGGACAGGAGATTCGGGTTAACATTCACGTTTCAGTGTGCAGCAATGTGTAAGAAGAAGAGTGGGACAGGAGTTTCGGGTTAACATTCACGTTTCAGTGTGCAGCAATGTGTAAAGTGCAGAGAGAGTAACAGTTTAGGGAGTAGCTGCAGAAATTCTGTATACTGGCTTGCTGCAGGAGGGTGCTCACTCACTTGGAGACAGCCGTCCTGACCCCTGATGGCAGCAATATGTCCGGGGCTCCACCCACGGGGTGTGGTCACTGTGGCATCTGCACCATGCCAGAGCAGCCAATGCACACACTGAAAATAAAGTTACACTCACAGATCTCCATCCTTAATAAGGTTTAACCCCCCCCCCCCCCCCCCCCCCCCCCACACACACACACAAAAAGCATCTGGTGTTGCACAATATAGACTCACCAAACATGAATATAGCATTTTTGTTCATTCACAGACCTTTATTAGACACAGACATCGTTAGATACAGACCATGTTAGACACAGACAACGTTAGACACAGACCATGTTAGACACAGACACAGACCATGTTAGACACAGACACAGACCATGTTAGACACAGACACAGACCATGTTAGACACAGACCATGTTAGACACAGACAATGTTAGACACAGACCATGTTAGACACAGACCATGTTAGACACAGACCATGTTAGACACAGACACAGACCATGTTAGACACAGACACAGACCATGTTAGACACAGACACAGACCATGTTAGACACAGACCATGTTAGACACAGACCATGTTAGACACAGACACAGACCATGTTAGACACAGACACAGACCATGTTAGACACAGACACAGACCATGTTAGACACAGACCATGTTAGACACAGACCATGTTAGACACAGACCATGTTAGACACAGACCATGTTAGACACAGACACAGACCATGTTAGACACAGACCATGTTAGACACAGACACAGACCATGCTAGACACAGACAATGTTAGACACAGACACAGACCATGTTAGACACAGACAATGTTAGACACGGACCATGTTAGACACGGACCATGTTAGACACAGACACAGACCATGTTAGACACAGACACAGACCATGTTAGACACAGACCATGTTAGACACAGACACAGACCATGTTAGACACAGACACAGACCATGTTAGACACAGACCATGTTAGACACAGACCATGTTAGACACAGACCATGTTAGACACAGACAATGTTAGACACGGACCATGTTAGACACGGACCATGTTAGACACAGACACAGACCATGTTAGACACAGACACAGACCATGTTAGACACAGACCATGTTAGACACAGACACAGACCATGTTAGACACAGACAATGTTAGACACAGACACAGACCATGTTAGACACAGACAATGTTAGACACGGACCAGACACAGACACAGACCATGTTAGACACAGACCATGTTAGACACAGACACAGACCATGTTAGACACAGACACAGACCATGTTAGACACAGACACAGACCATGTTAGACACAGACACAGACCATGTTAGACACGGACCATGTTAGACACAGACACAGACCATGTTAGACACAGACACAGACCATGTTAGACACAGACACAGACCATGTTAGACACGGACCATGTTAGACACAGACACAGACCATGTTAGACACAGACACAGACCATGTTAGACACAGACCATGTTAGACACAGACAATGTTAGACACAGACACAGACCATGTTAGACACAGACACAGACCATGTTAGACACAGACACAGACCATGTTAGACACAGACCATGTTAGACACAGACCATGTTAGACACAGACCATGTTAGACACAGACACAGACCATGTTAGACACAGACCATGCTAGACACAGACAATGTTAGACACAGACCATGTTAGACACAGACCATGTTAGACACAGACCATGTTAGACACAGACACAGACCATGTTAGACACAGACACAGACCATGTTAGACACAGACACAGACCATGTTAGACACAGACACGGACCATGTTAGACACAGACAATGTTAGACACAGACACAGACCATGTTAGACACAGACACAGACCATGTTAGACACAGACCATGCTAGACACGGACCATGTTAGACACAGACCATGCTAGACACGGACCATGTTAGACACGGACCATGTTAGACACAGACCATGTTAGACACGGACCATGTTAGACACAGACCATGCTAGACACGGACCATGTTAGACACAGACCATGCTAGACACAGACACAGACCATGTTAGACACAGACACAGACCATGTTAGACACAGACCATGTTAGACATGGACCATGTTAGACACAGACCATGTTAGACATGGACCATGTTAGACACAGACCATGTAAGACGCAGACCATGTTACACACAGACACAGACCATGTTAGGCACGGACCATGTTAGACACAGACCATGTTAGACACAGACCATGTAAGACACAGACCATGATAGACACGGACCATGTTAGACACAGACCATGTTAGACACAGACCATGTAAGACACAGACCATGTTAGACACGGACCACCATGCCTCTGGATCAAACGGTCCTAGCTGTCTCTGCTTCTAACTATTACTTGTGTACAAGACCTGTGAAGATCATGGGTAGAATAGGTCTTCAGCAACCAATGCTTGCCGTAAAAGGCGACTATGCTTGTCGTAAAAGGTCTCTAACGGGATTGGGTGGTCATGCTTGCTGACTTGGTTGATGCATGTCATCGATCCCAATTGCGTGGATCGATGTTCTTGTTGTCGATCACTGGATTGTCTGGTCCAGACTTGATTATTTACTGACTGCCGTCATTTAGCTGGAATATTGCTGAGTGCGGCGTTAAACATCAAAGCAACCAACAAAACTTGTGTACATGAGTAATACAATATATGTGTGGTAGTATGTACACTTGGAATTGAGAAGACTGCAGAGAGGCTAGAATTAGTAACAAGAACTAGAAGGCATGAAAACAGTAAGTCTTTGAACATGACACAGGTATTAAACCATTGTCCTGCAAGAACCTGTCTTACCTCGAGAGCCCCTACATTACATGCTGCATGGAGCGGGGTGAAGTTGTCTCGCTCATCAATCTCATTGATACTGGCACCATTCTTGACCATCGCCTCCAAGTGGAATACATCGCTATTCTTCACGGCATCATGGATATTCTGGCACTGGCCTGGCACTCGCGGAACAGTGGTACCTGCAAGGATCTTAGATATATAACATGTCACACCTACTGCATGGCAGACTTGGGGCTTTGGTACCTGCAAGAATCTTAGATATATAAGTCTTGTCTCACCTACTGCATGGCAGACTTGGGGCTTTGGTACCTGCAAGGATCTTAGATATATAACATGTCACACCTACTTCATGGCAGACTTGGGGCTTTGGTACCTGCAAGGATCTTAGATATATAACATGTCACACCTACTGCATGGCAGACTTGGGGCTTTGGTACCTGCAAGGATCTTAGATATATAACATGTCACATCTACTGCATGGTAGACTTGGGGCTTTGGTACCTGCAAGGATCTTAGATATATAACATGTCACACCTACTGCATGGTAGACTTGGGGCTTTGGTACCTGCAAGGATCTTAGATATATAAGTCTTGTCTCACCTACTGCATGGCAGACTTGGGGCTTTGGTACCTGCAAGAATCTTATATATATAACATGTCACACCTACTGCATGGCAGACTTGGGGCTTTGGTACCTGCAAGGATCTTAGATATATAAGTCTTGTCTCACCTACTGCATGGTAGACCCAGAGCTTTGGTACCTGCAAGAATCTTAGATATATAAGTCTTGTCTCACCTACTGCATGGTAGACCCGGAGCTTTGGTACCTGCAAGAATCTTAGATATATAAGTCTTGTCTCACCTACTGCATGGCAGACTTGGGGCTTTGGTACCTGCAAGAATCTTATATATATAACATGTCACACCTACTGCATGGCAGACTTGGGGCTTTGGTACCTGCAAGGATCTTAGATATATAAGTCTTGTCTCACCTACTGCATGGTAGACCCAGAGCTTTGGTACCTGCAAGAATCTTAGATATATAACATGTCACACCTACTGCATGGCAGACTCGGAGCTTTGGTACTTGCAAGAATCTTAGATATATAACATGTCACACCTACTGCATGGCAGACCCGGAGCTTTGGTACCTGCAAGGATCTTAGATATATAACATGTCACACCTACTGCATGGCAGACTTGGGGCTTTGGTACCTGCAAGGATCTTAGATATATAACATGTCACACCTACTGCATGGCAGACTTGGGGCTTTGGTACCTGCAAGGATCTTAGATATATAACGTGTCACATCTACTGCATGGTAGACTTGGAGCTTTGGTACCTGCAAGGATCTTAGATATATAACATGTCACACCTACTGCATGGCAGACTTGGGGCTTTGGTACCTGCAAGGATCTTAGATATATAACATGTCACACCTACTGCATGGCAGACTTGGGGCTTTGGTACCTGCAAGGATCTTAGATATATAACGTGTCACATCTACTGCGTGGCAGACTTGGGGCTTTGGTACCTGCAAGGATCTTAGATATATAACATGTCACACCTACTGCATGGTAGACTCGGAGCTTTGGATTTCGAGGATTTCATGTTGTCAGTCCAACCCTATAATCTCGAACCTAGCAGGGCCATGTTGTTGAATCGAGCATGAACATCCAACTTGATCAAGTAACAAGATTATAGATAAATAGCAAAACTAAGAACACAACACCTGTATACATGTGATGACAAATTGAAATTATTTGGCTGGCAATATTAATAACAATTGTGACAATGTATGTACTGTGCCCATGTACCTCATTAAGCATAGCAGCAATGACTTAACAAAAGCAACAAAGTGCCACTCGTGTCCGAAGCTTTGATTCCTGTAATCCCAATATGACTGGCACTTTTTGATGCAACCAGGTAAGTGCTGCCATATATTTCTAATCATGTCAACACATGATGTTTTATTTGTCAATAAAGATGACCACTACAGTTGGATCAAAACACAAGTACATAATTGGTGGAACAATTGGTTGAGATGTGTGGGAAATATACTAGATATATTTGTGCTTCTCAAAACTGTTCATGTGGCAATGCCAACTTCGAGATAAAGGTACAAAATTCTACAGTTAAGTTAAAGTTGGGACTGTGTCCAAGGGTCGAGAATGTGCTTTGTTTTTATACCTCAAATTCGAGATATGCGGGCAAATTTATATGTATTTACATACAGTGAAGCGGTAATATAATAATTGTGAAATATTATTATTTCATGGATACATTTGTGTTATGATGTTATTTTGCACACCAGTTCGTGGGTGATTGTTCTTATTTTGTAGGTAGCTTAAAGATTTTCATGAAAGAAAATGCTCTCAAAATGCTGGTTGAGAGTGTAGATTGTGTCAATGAATGGCGGGGAGGTGGGTCCTAGCACAAGTGCCATTACTGCTAAAACTCGGATATGTTTCTGAACTAAAATATCTCAAATCAGTTGTTGTACAGTTATTAATTATGACATGTAGATCTATATAAAACCAATGATCGAATACGTCTTCTTGAATGAGTCTTTGATATTCACCCAGAAACCTTTAGTGTGCGAGTGTTACGGGCCTGGTATAAAATGTAAAAGGTGGAGAATCCACGGAGCAAGGCAAGGACTGACAGTGGCGGGATTACAATAACAACAGATCACAACAGAGCATGTCCCGGGCTTGCGAATGACAAACCAATGGTCGAAACATTGTATCTGTACTTAGATTTCTAGTATGTGTTCATTAAAACATTACAGTATTCCAGTGATCCATTTGACACAAAGAGTGCGAGAATTACCTGGCATTTCGTATTCTTGAGGAGATCAAATCCAACCACAGATCTGCTTCGTCCGGGTTTGTTGACGTTGTTGCTGCACAACGCGCACCTGTCTCGCGCAAACTTGGAGTGCAGACCAGACCAGGAACGGGGAAGCCTATTACAGAATCGCCGTGTTAGATGTAAATTTACTTTTTATTTTGTTTCAGCAGTGTCATTAAATTTTGAAAGAAACATACATGAGTCGTATTATTCCATAGTAGTGTGTAGCAAAATAGGCAATAGCAGTTGTTAAACATGAAGTCCGCACACCAAAGCCTAGATCGATTCCTTGTTTCACGGACCCGTTAACAGCCCATCCGGGTTAGATAAGGTATTCAGCAAGCCATGCTTGTCGTAAGAGGCGACAAACGGAATCGGTGGTCAGGCTCGCTGACTTGGTTGAAGCATGTCATCGTATCCCAATTGCGTGGGTCAATGCTCATATTATCACTGGACTGTCTGGTCAAGACACGATTATTTACAGACCGCCGTTATATCTGTGGGATATTGCTGAGTGCGGCGTTAAACCACAAAATATAAAACATAGATCTATTTGTTTCAGGTTCGTTTTCTCAATGTCACTCGTGATCGAGAACCGTTTTATGACATTTTCATGAGTAACATAAACCTTGCATAGATGTATCAACTATGTGGAATTTAGAGTGTTCATGCAGTGTCCAGTCACGGTGACAACTGAGATCAGTGCCTATGGGTCTCTGAATGAAAGCGTCAAAACCCTCTCCATATTCATAAAAAATCTCTGCAAAAAAGCAGCGTCGATTGTACTATAGATCTAGATGTATATAATTTTATATCATGGACACATGGTCACTTATTCCCTTAATGTCTTACTTCAATATCTGACATAGATCAACACTGGGGAAGTCTAGTATTGTATTATCAGCAAACTTGAGATAACAATTGCTTTCATTTTTGGGTCGGGTAGCCTAGTGGTTAAAGCGTTCGCTTGTCACGCCGAAGACCCCGGTTCGATTCCCGACATGGGTAGAAAGTGTGAAGCCCATTTCTGGTGTCCCCCGCCGTGATATTGCTGGAATATTGCTAAAAGCGGCGTAATATATTCACTTTCACTCGCTTTCATTTTTGACAAAATTAGCTTTGCTGAACCTCTAGAGTTAGATATGTAACTATATATATTATGGTCACCACGTTTATCAAAAATGCCCCATGGATCAAGGAATGAACCTTTTCCTGAAGTTTGTCGTGTGGGATAGTGGTGAACAAAATTTTAAGTACAATGTTTCAATAGAATTGAACTTGCATAAATTCAAGCAGATCCTTTGAGCTTTTGAGAATTAACATGGTATCAATTCCTCTTGTCTCAAATATAGTATGTGAACATAGAGAAAGGCCTTCCTTAATTGTATTAGCTGTTGTGGTTGATCTTTGAGACAGGGGTTTAGTGGTACATTTTCTGGACCCAGCAACATATCTCTCTTGATTTGTATGGATTTATAAGGAGTTTTGTACAGAAGAGGAAATTTGGCCCTTCAAGGCCTCAGCTGATTGATAAACACATATACACATAATAAGAATATCGCAAACCTAATTGACATAACATGTAGCACTAGCGAATAAATGCACAACAATTTTAAGGTTAAGGTTTTAGGGTCAAGTAAAAAACCGATAGTATACTGATGTGTGGTTTTACCAGATTTCTTTATTAGTTAACATACTTGTCTTATATGTGGCATTATTAGATATGTCACTTAAGCCACGTTCTTTAATAAAAAAATAATAAGGAAGAGAATTTATGGATGTCAACTTCTTTCTTATGAGGAACACAACGTTTCGGAGTATATGCTTACTCCTTAATTACGTGAATAATGCTATGAAGCAGAGAACCTATATATGTACCTGTAAGAATAACAGTAATAAAATAACAAAACAAATACGTTATATCACGGCGTTAATGTGTTGGATAAAATCAGTGATATGATACACTTACTCAGGTGCAATACAGCGCCATAACTAGTAGACGAATGAATGTGGGTTCGAATGGGTCTCGGGATCCGACTGAAAGGGTGTGACGACGACTCGTGGGTACTTCAGTGTATGGAGTCAAGTTGCTTAAAAAATCCTGAATGTGTGACTGAGCCCTCAACTGAGTTGAAACAAGGGACGCGACTCTGGTACTCTTGTTATCTCATTATAATCCCATAAGCGCGCCAGTAGCAGAACCGGGTAGACTCGTGGCGTGATGTGGACACTAGGGCAGTTGCGCGACTGTGTAAATACACTTCACTAAAATCTTGTATTACAGATAATATATCAGTCATGTAATATAACTGTCACACAATCAGTAGAACATCTATCACAGGCAACGTGCTACTCACATCTATACTTGTAGTCAGTATATGCTAGCTGATGTGCCACTTTATTGCTTTGCACAAACTGATAAACCTAAATATCGTATTTGCGAAAGTGAACTTAAAGTAGAGAGTGTCCCAGCTTGTAGACTGTTATTCCCCAAGATAGTGCGTGTATGGTACGTGTGTGTGGTTGTCCTGGCCGGGTACAGTCGGGTGTCCCGCTGTGGACCACGCAGCATGGGCTGCATGATGTCTACACAGTTACACCCTTTACAACACAGCAGAGTAACATATTAGCAAAATATACAGAAACATATACAGAATTGTCCCCAAAATATCAATTTGAGTTTATTTTTTTGTTAAGAAGTGAGTATATGTGGTTGCGAGCCCGCTGATCGTGGATTAAAACTTCGGTTTGTCAGCGCCATACCCGTACCCGTGGGAGGCACTGAAGTGGTAAACGTTTACGACCTTAGTACCCCCTCCCTAGCTCTCTCCGAACCCACCCACCCACATCAAAGACCCCCCACCCCCCCCCCCCCCCCAAACACACGCTCCTCAACTACCTACACATCAAACAGTGTTTGTTTGTTGTTTTACGCCGCACTGAGCAATATTTCAGCTATATGACGACGGTCTGTAAATAATCGAGGGTCTGGACAAGACAATCCAGTGATTAACATCATGAGCATCGATCTAAGCAATTTTGATACGATGACAGGTATCAACCAAGTCAGCGAGCCTGACTACTCGATCCCATTAGTCGCCTCTTACGACAAGCATAGTCGCTAGGGCAAGCATGGGCCGCTGAAGGCCTTTTCTAACCCGGATCTTCACGGGTCCAGTTGGCTATAACTGATTGACTGATACTGTTGATGAAACCCTGACCCTCTCACCCGAAACCTGATGTTAGTGCTGATGTTAGTGCTCATGGTAGTGCCGTTTGATCTCGAGTAGGATAAGCCTGGGTATACTTTGTGAACCTGAACCGGAAAATGTTCCTGCGAAGAGAAGTGCTTCTCCTACAGCAGGGGAGGAAGAGATCAATACCAGTGTTCATGATCAGGTGAATGTCCAACCTGAAAGTGTTGACTCCACTGAACAGGTGCCTAACGTTCAGCAGATAGAGGACACCGAACCTGTAATCAAAACTGTGATTACAGATTGTGATCATGACAGTGTCATAGTGAACCATAATATTGTTGACAATGTTGACTTGCCTGACTGTGACTGTACAAGTGTAGTTCATGAGGCTAGCCTCCCTCGCAAGTCAACACGTTCGACTGCAGGAAAGCATTCAAACCCATATGCTTTGCCGAAGTCAGCAGTGCAAGAAGAGATTGTCATGACACCAGTTGAAAATCCCAAAGAGACTGTTGATTTAAAGTTGCTTTCGGAAATGAGCAAAGCTCATTTATTGCTGATGGAGATGCTATCCAAGTCCAGCAAATAGTTGTCATCCGTCCATCCATTGATTATACATGTATAATACGGGTATATTTGCATTCTAGTCATATCCTAGTCCTGTTAAAGTTGGAATGTCTTTCTTGGTTATGTTTTATTATTGACATTTATGCTGGTGCTGAAAAACTAAAAGAAATCTCAGGATGCATACGAATTACATTTTCTTGCAACTTGCTAATTCTATAGAAGTTTGTACATGTACTTCACGAAGATTGTGCAACACATTCATTGTTAGTCTTTCATGTTCATGATGTAATGAACAGTATAGTTAGTTGTCAGGGGCCAACTTTGTAGCAGGGGAGTGTAAAAGAGTTTTAGTACTCAATTATTGTACCTCCAGTCGTTGGCTCGTAAGCTTATAATCATCGGCAATTTCCGGAAGTAATCGTAAATGTCAATTTTTTCCTATTTTAAATAAAGCCTTTCTCTGCAATTTTGTGAGATTGGCAGAACTAATTAATTTCCATATTCAGTTTATTAATTAGTAGTATTTTCACTTTCTATATCTCGTAACGAAAATGTTCCACATTTTCCCATGGTGCATTTTTTGTTATCATCTCATCTCGCGCCAAGCTCATGCTGATATAGTGTCTTTTCCCAGCAAGCCATTTTCAACGTTTATACTTCATTTCCCAGAAAATAACGAGAGTCACCATGGAGATGTGTTGCTCCATCTGAAGTGTCTCAGCTGTTTGTAGACTCCTTGGGGGTTACGCCATGGGTGGCTACGATTCTAGCTACTACGGCGAATAAACGAGATTGAAGAGAGATATTTTGCTTGGTCCTCTTTAACCCCCCACATTAGCGATGATGTTAGTGATGATGTTAGCGATGATGTTAGTGATGATGTTGATGATGATGTTAGTGATTAAGTTAGCGGTGATGTTAGTGATGATGTTAGAGTAGTGGATGGTAATGAGAAACTACACTCGTGACACTAGATGTGGCATGTTTCTACATGAAGATCACGTCTTATGCAATCTTTTACTTTCTTGCATGTCTTTATATATATTAATTTTAATATAGCTATGCTGTCAGTACACTGAATGCACACTCCAGAAGGTGGAGCTCTGTCAGACTGAAGACACCATCATGTATTAATAAGTAGCCATTGAAGCAACACTCACCAGGTAACTACACGCCTCTGGTCGCTAGCCATGATTTAATCATCATATAATATATCGATATCCCACAGCTAGTTTAGCCAGGTGTATTTCTGAGATATGACTCAGTTCATTCACTAGTACAAACACACAGCGGTTGTGATGGGACTTTATACCATGACATGATTC